CAACACTGGCTCTTCGGCTTAGAAATGGAGATGAGCACCACACCCCAGAGTCAGACATGATTGGACTTAATGTCAGGGGACTACCTTTACCTTTACCTTATATATATGTGTGTGTGTGTGTCTGTATGTATGTATGTGTGCATTTCTATATGCATATGAGTGTATATGTATATATAGTTTATTTTGGGATGTTTTAAGTCCGTTCTGCTGGGGTTTTTTTTGTGTGTTTTTAGCGTTGATGGACACTCATTGGCCTGACTGGTGTATTATGTCCAAATTTGGTGTCAATTGGTTTTTGAGTTATATTAACCCCACAAACGAACATTACATTTTTATTTATATAGACAGTCAGTTGTTAGTCTGATAGGTGTTATTGTGTCCAAATTTGGTGTCAATTCGTCCAGTGGTTTTTGAGTTATGTTAACCCCACAAACGAACATTACATTTTTATTTATATAGATAGTCAGTTGTTAGTCTGATAGGTGTTATTGTGTCCAAATTTGGTGTCAATTCGTCCAGTGGTTTTTGAGTTCTGCTAATCCCACAAACAAACATTACATTTTTATTAATATAGATTTCACATTAAAATTTATCATCACCATCATCATCCTATTTATTTATACCTAGAATATCAAAGCAAATCATCCACATGGTCTGCTTTGAACTGAATTATATGAGTCTACACTGCCTTTTGGATTCCCTTTTGGCTTAGGGTGCACCTATACTGTCCAATTAATGCAGTTTCACACCACTTTGGACTTGGAAAGCAGTGCGTTTTCATAGGGACAATCCTGGCCTTGCATGGCTTCTCTGCCTTTGCAAAGCCTCTCAAGGCAACAGATGGGACAGAAAGGACAACATGGCTCCCCAAGGCATTACGTAAAGCCACAAAGAGGCGGAGAGGCTGCTCGTGATTATCTGTCTCTCTGAGGAAGAGAATAATGAGGCCCGCGGATACGGAAAGCCTGGAGCCCAGATGATCAGAGGTCCGAAGGAGCAGAGGAGCCATGTCACAGTTGTCAGCACCCTAGATACTTTCTATCTTAAACTCTTCCCCCTTTCTTACAAAGTAACCCCTTCAATAAATGTACACTTCGGTGGGTTATACTTATATGTGATTTTTTGTGTCCTTTTTGCCTCCTGTGTCTTTTCCTCTTCTTTCTGACTCTTGCAGCTGACCCTGGTAACCACAGACCCGCCGCAATTGCCCTAGGAGCAGGGCTTTCTCTCTCTTTCTTCCCCATTGTTGCTGTTTATTCGTTCAGTCGATGAATTTATTCAGTCAACAGAGTGTCGTCGAGGGCATCCCAGGCCACTGCCTTCAAGCTGGTGTGACCAACAGCAGTTCCTGGATGCAAAGATTGGGCCAAACTGATGAAATGTGCCCCAACAGCAAGCTCAACCAGGGACTCTGCACAGCCGTATGCTCTTTCCTTTCACTTCCCTGCCAAGCTCCAACTTTGTAACAAATCCCTAAATAAAGATGAATGAAATTGCAACTTTTAACTCTCTAGCTTGATACTTTGTGTCTCTTCTTGCCTGAAACTATCCCAATGCATGAAACTAACTTTTTCCAGGCCATGGGAGACTGCAGGCCTGCCCGGAATGCCTTCCTGGCGTTCCAGGGAGACCGAATCTGCGCTCCTCCAAGCCGCGGATACGGAAACCCCCAGGGGCCCCCGTATCCGCGAGATGGCAGATTACCTCCATTTTGGTGGTATGTTTTTCCTGGCTTAATTCTAACACTATTTGCTATCTCGCTTTTTACATTTTGGGCTTCTACGCCTGGGGAATAATCTTTTAAGTTTTGAGAATATTATTTCAAGAAACAGCTGATTGTCGAAAGGCCGGCTCCGCTGCTGCTGCGCTGCTGCTTTTCGCGATTCCATCGCCCCTGCCAGGCCCCTGCCCTGAAGACTCAGTGCGATTACCCCATGAAGCTCTCGGGGAAGAGCCTGGCCTTGGGGTCCCAGTCCTTGGAGGTAGTTATAGTTTCCCAAGGACCAAAGACCAACTCGATCTTGGCGCTGCAGGAATCCATTTCTTGGCTCAGTGGAAATCACCAAGCTCCCTTTGTGACTGTTGGACTTTCTTCAAAACCTTTTTTGATCTAATGAACTCATTTTTTACATATGAATTTCCTCCGCATAAACCATGGACGCATGTTTTATTAAAAAATATTATTTTAATCAATTTCTCTGGTGGGTGGGGGGTGGGAGGGGATGCTTGATATGAATTTCTTGTGATTCCTATATTTCCCCATGTATTTTTCCTTATTTTTGCCCTGGCACCCAACCCATCGCCCCTTCCCCTCCCTTTGGGGAAACTCATCAAGGAAGCTTCCAGCTGTGTTAAAAAGGCAATCAGCAATCACTAAAAGAACCTTTATCATAATACTTGTGCATGGAACCATAACCTGAGGGTCCTTTGTTTAGTCTCGGAGTAGGGCCGCTGAACAAAGAATCTCATTTGGCATGTTTGATCACATCACACTGGGGGGCAAAAAGGCCCTCGAAAGGTCTTTTCCCCTGAAACTGTACTTCCTTTCAAAACTTGCCACAAAAAACACTCACCCCAGGAATCAACGCTTATCTCCCACCCATCTAAGGACAATAGACTGGGCATCCTTTGCAGGCTGCTTTTTGTGGACTCAGGATCCCCCAAGGCATGAAATCCATTAATCCATTCACAAGCCCATTGTTTCTTCCTCGTCCTGCCTCCCTTCTCCTGATTCGCCAGGGCACTGAGGTGGTAGGAGCTTTCCCATTGGCTCCTGCACAGCGGAAAAGCTCCGTGATTGGCTCTGATGCAGGGCGGGCGACCAAGCCTCTCCCAGCTGTTATCGCGTCAGCCAATCACCTGCGAGCCGGGTGGAGGGCGGGAATTTTGAAACTTCTAAACCTGTAAACCCTATAAAAATGTCTCTGATCTCTGTACTGGTATGCTTTGTAGGCGAATGATTGCTACATTGCATCCTTTTCAGCTGAATCGCTAATAAAAACACCTCGGTGCCGCTTCTTCAACTTCAAAGTAGCGATCCTTCTTTGGTGGGGTCTCAGGTTCCCTCCTCCTGGGGAAGACCCTCCTAAAGTTCCTATCGACTTCAAGAGCCCAAGGGGTCTCCGAGGTGGCGAGTAGCAGACGGCGAAGAGGACGATGCCACTGCCGAGTGGGCGGAGCGTCCTTACTTTGCGGATTTTCACTTATCGCGGGTGTCCTAAAACAGAGAGAATACTGTACCATTGCTTTGACTATGCGGATCTTCGTTGGCAGTGTGATGTCTCTTCTCTTCACTCTTTTATCAAGATTGGCCCTTGCTCTCCTTCCAAAAAAGGAAGCGTCTTCCGATTTCCTGGCTGCACTCCGCATCTGCAGTAAACCTAATATTATTGTTGCTTGCCATAGCATTGCACTTAATTCCCGGGCCCCCTAGAATTTTTGGGCTTGCACAAATCTTGGCCCGGCCTTTTAAATTTTTTAATTGCCTTGAACAGGCAGGATTACTATTAATATATGTGTGTTACGGTGACAACTTTTAAGCTTATATCGTTTTGTTAATCTTATGGTTATGTTGTTTTACTTTGTATGCTTTGTGATGTTACCTGGGAAACACTCTGAGTCCCATTGGGGAGATAGAATGGTATATAAATAAAGTTTTAGATGATGATGATGATGATTATTATTATTATTATAGAAATACAAAGTCTGTCACTGCCTTCACGTTTTCTCCCTCTATTTGCCAGTTATCAGTCAGTCTGGTGTGGAACACATCTCACCACACTACAACAGTGGATGTGGCTCTGAATGAGACATGCCGCATTATCACGGGGTGTCTGCACCCTACACCACTGGAGAAATTACACTGCTTAGCCGGTATTGCACCACCTGACATCCGCCGGGAAGTAGCAGCCAATAGGGAAAGGACCAAGGCAGAGACATCTCCAGCTCATCCCGTTTGGGCATCAGCCAGCACGTCAACGACTTAAATCTAGAAATAGTTTTTTAAGATCTACAGAGACACTTGCTGGAACACCTCAGCAAGCGAGAGTCCAAAAGTGGCAGGCTCAAACCCAGAACCTCAACCAATGGCTGATACCAAATGAGAGACTCCCCCTGGGCACACAGAAGACTGGGCGACTTGAAGGCGTTGAACGGACTGCGCTCTGGCACCACGAGATGCAGAGCCAACCTCAAGAAATGGGGCTATGAAGTGGAATCCCCGACATGCGAGTGTGGAGAAGAGCAAACCACAGACCACCTACTGCAATGCAACCTGAGCCCTGCCACATGCACGATGGAGGACCTTCTTGCAGCAACACCAGAGGCACTCCAAGTGGCCAGAAACTGGTCAAAGGACATTTAACCAACTACCAAGTTCGCAAAATCTGTGTTTTTTTTGTCCCCCCCCCCCTTTTTTTTAATCTGTGTGTTTGTTTTGTTCTGTTAGAATTGTAACACAATGGTATGGTTGCTGATGACACGATAAATAAATAAATATATCCTCAGAGGTAGTGAGGTATGTTGAAACTAGGAAAAAGGGTTTATATATCTGTGGAAGGACCAGGGTGGGACAAAGGACTCTTCTCTGCTGGAGCTAGGTGTGAATGTTTCAACTGACCACCTTGATTAGCATATAATGGCCTGACAGTGCCTGGGGGAATCTTTTGTTGAGAGATGATTATATGTCCTTGCTTGTTTCCTCTCTGTTGTAATTATGTAATAATAATATAAACAACAATATTTAAGTAATAATAACATTATTCAATGGCTTTTGTTTTCGGCCTTTAAATGGAATTTGGATTTATTTACTTTTGGGCCTGATTCCTTGACTTCTCCTTTAAGTCTCGAAAGAGGACAAGGGACCCTTTTCCCCAGGACTCCATTTCCCAGCGCGCTTTGCGGCAGAGGCTTTGCCGGGCCGGAACTCCACTTCCCAGGGGGCTTTGCGGGAGCCGGCTTTTCGGCGGAAGGGGGAAGGCCAGGCCGGGCAAGTCGGGCAAGATGGCGGCGCCGGAGGGCCTGCTGAGCGCGGGGCTGAACTTGGAGGCCTTCGCGCAGGCCATTGCGGCCACACAGGCGCTCCGCTCGAGCGTGACGCGGGTCTTCGACTGCCTGAAGGACGGGCGGCGGCGCAAGGAGGGCGCGGAGGGGCGGGCCGAGAGGGGCTTCGTCGCCTCCTTCCAGGACAGCCTGCTCGGACTCAGCCGGGACCTCAGGTGAGGCGCCCCAGAGAGGCCGACGCGCCGTTGCCAGGGCAACCCCAACGCCCGGCCCCGCCCCCTCCCTCCCCTTAGCCGTGCATTCTCTCCTGACCTTTCACCCACAAATTATGGCAGGCACCCCAGAGGTTGTGAGGCCTGTTGTGGGGTTTGTGTCCCTGTGAAACAATGCCCAGGGTGAGACAAAGAACTTTTGTCTGTTGAAGGCAAGGGGAATGTTGCCATTGGTCACCTTGATTAGCATTGAATGGCCTGGCAGCTTCAAAAGTCAATCAGTGAGGGTCTCTGCATAGAGCTCTGTTTTGTTCTTTTTTTTCTTTTCTTTTTTTTTTCTTTTTGCTTTTTTTTTCTCTTTTTTTTCTTTTTTTTTTTTTTTTTTCCCCCCCCCCTTATTTTTTTGGATTTTGTTTTGTTTTTTTTGGTTTTCTTTTTTTTGTTTTTTTTTTTTTTTTTGGTATTTCCCTGTGTGTTTTTTTTTTTTTTTTTTTGGTTTAAAAACCCTGGTTCCAGTCCAGTGTATCTGTCCGAACGTATCTCCCTCTACGTCCCACCTCGGAGTCTGAGATCATCTGGGGAGGCCCTGCTATCGACCCCACCACTGTCACAAGTGAGGCTGGTGGGGACGAGGAGCAGGGCTTTCTCAGTGGTGGCCCCTCACCTGTGGAACTCACTCCCGGGGGAAATCAGGGCATCATCATCCCTCCTCGCCTTTAGGAGAAGGGTGAAGACTTGGTTATGCATCAATAGGAGCATAGTGTCTAGATCTAGGGAAGTAATGCTACCCCTCTATTCTGTTTTGGTTAGACCACATTTGGAATATTGTGTCCAGTTCTGGGCACCACAATTCAAGAGAGATATTGACAAGCTGGAATGTGTCCAGAGGAGAGCGACTAAAATGATAAAAGGTCTGGAGAACAAGCCCTATGAGGAGCGGCTTAAGGAGCTGGGCATGTTTAGCCTGAAGAAGAGAAGGCTGAGAGGGGATATCATAGCCATGTATAAATATGTGAGAGGAAGCCACAGGGAGGAGGGAGCAAGCTTGTTTTCTGCTTCCTTGGAGACTAGGATGCGGAACAATGGCTTCAAACTACAAGAGAGGAGATTCCATTTGAACATGAGGAAGAACTTCCTGACTGTGAGAGCCGTTCAGCAGTGGAACTCTCTGCCCCAGAGTGTGGTGGAGGCTCCTTCTTTGGAAGCTTTTAAACAGAGGCTGGGTGGCCATCTGTGGGGGATTGAATGCAATATTCCTGCTTCTTGGCAGGGGGTTGGACTGGATGGCCCATGAGGTCTCTTTCAACTCTTTGATTCTATGATTCTATGAATGGCCTGGCAGCTTCAAAAGTCAATCAGTGAGGGTCTCTGCATAGAGCCCTGTTGGAAACTAGGCAAAGGTCCAGTGTATCTGTCCGAACGTATCTCCCTCTACGTCCCACCTCGGAGTCTGAGATCATCTGGGGAGGCCCTGCTATCGACCCCACCACTGTCACAAGTGAGGCTGGTGGGGACGAGGAGCAGGGCTTTCTCAGTGGTGGCCCCTCACCTGTGGAACTCACTCCCGGGGGAAATCAGGGCATCATCATCCCTCCTCTCCTTTAGGAGAAGGGTGAAGACTTGGTTATGGGACCAGGCCTTTGGGCACTCTGGCAATTAAATCAGACAATCAGGCGAGTAAGACCAGCAGGATGGATGAATGGAACGTAAAACTAGATCTAGGTGTTAACGAACGCTGACCATGTAAGAGGAGAAATTGGGTTTGTATTTGGTTTTATTGATTTTATGGTTATAATGCATGCATGTCAACTGTGAATTGATGTAATTTTGTGTATGATTGTTTTATGATACAGGCATCAAATTGTGCCTTGTTTCTGTAAGCCGCCCTGAGTCCCCTTCGGGGTGAGAAGGGCGGGGTAAAAGAACCCCAAATAAATAAATAAATAAATAAATAAATAAATAAATAAATAAATAAATAAATAAGGGCTGAGAAAAGCGGTATATAAGTGAAGTAAGTAAGTAAATAAATAAATAAATAAATTCTATGCAAGACCCTTACTGATTGACTTTGCACCTATATACATATACAATTTCAATCCACTTGCCTCGTTTTGAATAGACTTCTATGCAAGACCCTTACTGATTGACTTTGCACCTGCAAGGCTACTCAGTGGTGATCAAATGCAGCATTCACACTCACTTCCAACCAGAAAAGAATTCTTTCTCCAACCCTGGACATCATTCCGTACATACATATATTCAGTCCACTTGCCTTGTCTTGAATAGACTCGTATGCAAGACCCTTACTGATTGACTTTGCACCTGCAAGGCTACTCAGTGCTGAACAAATGCAGCATTCACACTCACTTCCAACCAGAAAAGAATTCTTTCTCCAACCCTGGACATCATTCCATACATACATATATTCAGTCCACTTGCCTTGTCTTGAATAGACTCGTATGCAAGACCCTTACTGATTGACTTTGCACCTGCAAGGCTACTCAGTGCTGATCATATGAAGCATTCACACTCACTTCAGCAGTGAAGTGCCAAAGTTCAGCAGTGGAACTCTCTGCCCCGGAGTGTGGTAGAGGCTCCTTCTTTGGAAACTTTTAAACAGAGGCTGGATTCAAAACGAGGCAAGTGGACTGAATATATACCTGTGGAATGGTGTCCAGGTTGGAAGTAAGTGTAAATGTCTGGTTGGAAGTAAGTGTGAATGCTGCATTTGGCCACCTCTGAGTAGCCTTGCAGTTGCAAAGTCAATCAGTAACAGTCTTGCATAGAATTTATTTACTTATTTATTTACTTCACTTATATACCGCTTTTCTCAGTCCTTAGCCGACTCAAAGCGGTTAACAGCAGTGATTTCAATGCACACATTACAAAACCATTAGAACATTTAAAAACAATAGCATAACAACAATTAAACATCAATATGACAAATAATTCGCGTCTATTCAAAACGAGGCAAGTGGACTGAATATATGTACATATATATATATGGAATGATGGCCAGGGTTGGAGAAAGAACTCTTGTTTGGTTGGAAGTCATAGAATCAAAGAGCTGGAAGAGACCTCATGGGCCATCCAGTCCAACCCCATTCTGCCAAGAAGCAGGAATATTGCATTCAAAGCACCCCTGACAGATGGCCATCCAGTCTCTGTTTAAAAGCTTCCAAAGAAGGAGCCTCCACCACACTCCGGGGCAGGGAGTTTCACTGCTGAACTTCAGCACTTCACTGCTGAAGTGAATGTGAATGCTTCATATTATCACTGTAGAGAAGTGTTTATTATAAAGGGTTTAATGTACTGTGTTTAAACTGTATTTATGTTTTACATGCGTG